CACACACACACACACACACACACACACACACACACACACACACACACACACACACACATGTATATGTTCTGGGTATCAAGTTCTATCTACAGGAGCGAACACAAACACCTGTAGAGTTTTCGTAGGTTCTATTTCCTGGATAAACAGAGATACACAAGCGAGGTGGCGTTCCTTACTCTGTCTGGGGGTCAACTAGCCTTTTAGGCGACATGTGGCAAGTGATACATTGGCAGCTTCCATATGTCGCCAGGCACATTAATTAAGCGTGTGGGACATGGTAAATACATTGCCACACGCTGCTAGCTAGGCTGAATAAATAATGTATATAAATGGAGCACATACATAATATACATACATAAGATACATACAGCATACATAATATACATACATACATACATACAACACACTCACTCTCCTCCCAGCTTACTTACCTTCCCCCTCCCCCCTCCTAGTGTTCAACCATATGAAATCGCCAACAAACTCCTGAAATTTAAATCCAAACGCTCCACGACCCTAATTGACCTCCCAATCAAAATATACAAGGAGTTTGCAGTCGAACTTGCCACCCCCCTCTGTTCTATTATTAATGCATCCCTCAGACAAAGCAAATGCCCTAATGAATGGAAAACCGCATTTGTCACCCCCATCCCCAAGGTCACCACCCCACAGTCCCCTAACGACCTCAGGCCAGTTGCCATTACCCCCATACCCAGTCTACTTTGTGAGGACTTTGTTTTTGAGTGGGCATTTGCCAGTGTCTGTCAGTCAATTGATCCACAGCAATTTGGCAATATGAGGACCTCCTCTACATCACACTGCTTGGTGAGCTTTCTGGATTTTCTGCTCAAAAACGTGCAGAAACGTAAGACATCACTGGCCATTGCCCTTGTGGACTTCAGGAAGGCCTTTGACCTTGTTGATCACTGCACTGTTATCAACAAGGCTATTGCACTAGGGCTGCCCACCAACCTGGTCTCATGGCTCACTGATTTCTTGAGTGGACGTCGCCAGGCAGTGAGGTATCAGGGCTTGGTCTCCACATTCCAACACCTCACCTGCGGTGTTCCCCAGGGGACCAAGATGGGACCACTGTGCTTCCTCATCCTGATCAACGACGCTCTATCGGACACTCCTCACAGGTGGAAGTACGTGGATGACTGCACTGTGGGGGTTTCAGTGGACAACACCGCACCAGACTACTCATCGCTACAAGGCACCCTGGACAGGCTACAGGCATGGACTACGGAGAACAAGGTCACCATCAACCACACCAAAACCGTAGTCATGCACATCAATACTGTCACCACTCCAGTGCAAGCCCCAGCAGTCACAGTGGGTGCCCATCCTCTCCAGCTGGTGCAGTCTGCCAAACTCCTGGGTGTAACTATAGACAACAAACTTGACTAGAAGGCCCATGTAAATAACACAGTCAAGGCAGCCTCATACCGTCTCTACATGCTACGACGACTTAGGTCACTTGGGACACCCACGCCAGAGCTGAGGACCATCTTCAACGCCTTTATTCTCCCCAAACTAACGTATGCGTCACCAGCCTGGTCGTCTCCACCCAACAACGTCAGCTAGAGAAGGTACAGAAAAGGGCCTGCAGAATAATGCTGGGCACAGAATACTCCGGCTACACCAACGTTCTCTCCACCCTGGAAATGCCATCCCTCAGTGACCTCCACCACCAAGCACTGGAGGTCACTACTGCCACCGGCAGTCCCCCACCCAACTCGGGTAGTCCGCCACAACAACAAAATTCAGCCCATAAGAGCCCGCACCGATAGATATAAGAACAGCACCATCCCATCTATTGTTAAAATAATAGACAACTCCTGATTTATGTACTGTACAGCCCTGTAAATGTATTCAATGCATATTATATCATTATGTCTAAATCAAATGTAAGTCTGTATATTTTCAGCCACCGGCTGCAACTCTATTAATAAACCGTTTATTATTATTTTATTATGCAACACACACACACACACATACACACACACACACACACACACACACACACACGGGAATTAAGACAACAAGCATCCAGTGAGGGTCTTGTTGTGTGACTGCATGGAAGCAAATTAAAAGATCAGTGTTGAGGAGCTTATCACTTGGCAACACTGGTGCATGTTACCACTCCATCTCTCTAATCACCCACACCTTTCTCACTCCACATTTTAAAATGTTATGTAGTATAATGTTGAAAGGTTACAACTTCGTTCATTTATACTTATACTTATCACAATCTCCCTAAAAAATATTTTAGCTTTCATGTTTATTCAAGACAAATCTTCAGGTCATGAGACCCACTAGGGTCGGGATGTATCGCAAGATAGAGTCCAAGGATTTTTTATTTTTTTTATTTTTACTGGTAATAAAAGTGACTAGACTTAACGAGTTTACTTTCTTACTAACTAAAGCACCAATGAACACTAGACTTGGGAACACCAGACTCAGGAACACCAGATTCGGCACCTGACGCGCCATCCCGGAAACACCAGACTCGGCAGCAGACGCCACACTGCCACCCTCACTTGACAATTCCACACCTACAGTACATATATGAACAAACCAAAAATATTAGTTCCCTTATTAAATCTTTTCCATTAAGGTTTCCATTCCCTTCACTTCACTTCACTTTTCACGTCATTAGGGACCCATTTACACTCACCTTTGAAGTCATAATCTGCAACAGACTCGGCTGCTGACTCGTCACTCACTCAGAAAGACTGTGCGAACGAGCATGAATGCGTGGGTGAGTAGCCACTGTGGCGCCTCTGGTGAGCAAATAATGCATTTGCTTGTCATGGCGGTAAATTTGAAATATTTCCTGGCCGATTTCCTTTGCAAAATAAATAGATTTATCTTTATATATTGGAAAAATTTCGATAATTTTGGGAGTCGCGATTTAAAAAAATCGCTATATGTATCCCGACCCTACAGTATATACTGTATATAATAGGAACCACAGGTATGTATTTTATTGGCCTAATTTAGGCCAGAAAAACAGATCTCAAGATCAAGTCCTCCATTTCTAACATTGTTATTAATTCATGCATTTCAAAATTGAGAATTTGTACCTAAAGGTTTTATGGTGAGGAGATGAATAACCTATAGTAATCAATGTCTGCATATTTTCTTAATTTGTGGTGTGAATGTGATGAAGAATTTTATGTCTATTTTAAGACAGTTGATTACCAGTAATCAACCTTAGTAGAATAACTACAGTAATTAGCTTTATTTTTCTTGTGTACATCTTCTTGTGAATGTATCCCTCTGACCAAATTTTTTCTTCAGAACGTATAGAAGAGCTTCATGCACTAGAAGCAGAGGAACGCACAACATACAACCAACTGAGGAGTGAAATACAGCAGCTGGAGGCTGGTGTTTTAGACCAACAGCTTGATCCTCTCTGGGAGCAGTTAGTGAAGTAAGTGTAAGGTTTTGATTGTCATATATATATATATATATATATATATATATATATATATATATATATATATATATATATATATATATATATATATATATATATATATATATATATATATATATATATATATATATATATATATATATATATATATATATATATATATATATATATATATATATATATATATATATATATATATATATATATATATATATATATATATATATATATATATATATATATATATATATATATATATATATATATATATATATATATATAATGGTTCTGAAGTTTAGAAAATTCAGTCTCTAAGCTTGGACCTTAACTGGAAATAATGTGACAAGCTCGTGAACATGAAAGTTTTGTAGCTTAACTTTCTGTTTTGGTGGACTATCTGTTTTTACACTCTTGCAACTATCTCATGGACAGCTTCAAAATCATTCTTTTCCCAATTTTTTTAATGAAATGATAGATTAGTTTAACTGTGGCACAGGAATTAATTTAGTTTATTAATCTTCAAGTTGTTTTAATCTATTATTTTCCTAGTTTTCTACTATATCATGTCTTTTGTAGTTCTTGTATTACCATTAGCTTGTGGATCATAAATGGGATTGATTCTCAAATTCCTTTGAATGATTGTAAGTAATTGGATAGCCCAGTCTCTTACCTTCCTTCCTTCCTTGTGGTGCGGTACAGCAGTAGCTAGACCTGGCATGGCAAAACTTTCGGGGCTGTGTGATACCTGGATTCCTGTTTTCAAGGATTAGTGGATAAAAATGATTGTTTTAAAGTGATCATTTAAGAGCCCGTTCTGTCCTTAAATGATGACACCCATATCGTTTAGACTTTTTTCCCTCTGGAATTCATTGGACCAAGGTACTCAGAAAACATGACAAGATAGCACTCTCATTTTAAGTCAAAATGACTACCATGGGTTGTATTCTTCCCTGGAATCATGAAAATGGTTTTCAAAGCCAATCCTCCCTTTTTTTCAATAAGAATATTACTGTACTGTACTGTACTTAGAACTGCATGCACTTTGATAACCTTGGTATAAGTGTAAGCTAGTAATGTAGGGCAAGGGTTCCTAACCAAACATGTCCTGAAGAGAATGTATTTAAGTGCTCTTTTCTCCTTATATTAAAAGCATACATAGTGTAAATACATATGAGGTGTTAGATGAAATTTCATACTGAAAAATTATTATCTTTTCATTGTTGGACATTAGATGATGACTTGCTTCACTAATTTCATTAAAAAAAATCAGGGAACGAGCTGAAGAAGAAGAAGAAGAACAGCGACACCAGCAATGGCTGAAGGAACGTGATGAAAAAATAACAGCTATCCAGCAGGCTTTAAAGCATCAAATACCCAAAGGTGAGATTTTTTTTTGTGTTGTACATCTAAAACTTCCAATGGAACATTTACTGAGGATATAGTTTACTTATTTGCAGTACAGTATATACAAGAGAATTAATTAAAAACCCCAAAATGAGCCTTCTTATACGGGCCTGAGCTGAACCTGCACAAGTTACACAACCAAGCTCAACAGACCTGCATAACCCACACTCATGCTGTGTTGTTTATCATGATTTAGATTTTGAATTTATGCTGTTTGTAATTACAACAATATAAAAAAGACCAACAACACTCAAAAGAGAAACATAATTCATTATACACTAATGGGATTTATGTTGCTGGATACTCTTTCCAAACACATAAAATTTTGGTTCAACAGTTCATCACAGACAATCTTACTAATGCCTGAACATTGTTTGGTGTTAGGTTTAAGAGCTTTTTATTCTAATTATAAATTCAAGTCATAATTAGACATTAACTCCCATGAAAAAAATACAAAAAATATTCTCAAAATTCTTTACAAATTAATTATGGAAGACAAATAATTCTCAATAACTGAGGGTAATGACAACACTGTCCTATACCTGGAGATGTCTCACTGGTAGATTTGGGGAGAGAGTGAGGGAACATTTTCAATTATAATTTTCTAGCTGCCAGTGATCCTCTGAGGACCAAATCTCATGTTGGTAATTTATCAATAAATATGGTGTAAGTAATTTTTGCCAGTCAGGGAAGCATATCACTTTTAGGCTACTGAATCACTTACCCTTGTCGAAGGTGATTCACATGTGAGCCACTGCATATGAGGTGGTTAATGATGGAAACGTTCTCTTTCTCATGTCTGTATCTCTCTTTCTCTTTCAATAGCACCTCCGGCATTACACAGCAAAAAGAAACAGAAGTTACAGATCAGTGGTCTGGGTGGGCCAGCAGCAGGAAACAGAAGGAACAGTGGTCTCTCAGAAACGTCTTCAGAAATTGACAGTGCTGTTGATAGTCCTGATTTAAGTGAAGTTGCTTCTGAAAGTCTAGTTAGTAACAAGGTTAATATATTCATTGATGTATATGTAGTTAGTTTGAAGATGATTTTGCATGGACCCCCTGTCATGTACAGTACAGGTATCCCTCGTTAGGTTCCTGAAAAAAAGATTCATATTGGCTATAGGAAAAATAGGGTTCGGTTCCCCAATGTCATACCCCAAAAACATGAAATTGGTTCACAAATAACAAAAAACTACCTAACTAGTAATAATAAATAGTGCACAACCACTGTAACTTGCTACCTAACACATTAAGAACATTAATAATATACTGTATAACTTTGGTACAATACCTTATGGGAGGGCAGTCTTGGCTCACTACAAGAGGGTGAGAAGGGGTAGGCCAAGTAATGGCTTACTCAGCGAGATGAGGAGAGCTGTCCACCTCATCACTACTGTCTCAATACAGTTGTCACAGCCTTTTGTATTTTCTTCAGTGTAGTGCGGGTAGCCAAAGATTCAGCAGAATGCTTGGATGCTATGATGAAAGGATGGCACGAATATTCATGGATATAGAGAGATCACTTCACACACACACACCACGAATGGCAGAAAGAAAGACGCGGACTTGTAGGGGTTGCAGATCGTGCTGGAGGGAGAGGAGATTTGTTTGATCAGTGAGCAAGAATATGTGACTGCGAATCTCTCCAAGATGGCTGCCCCAGCTGACTCCCGGGGGCGCTCGATTTGAATTTTGGCTGGGATCCAAATTCGTTTAAGCGGGGGAAGTTTGTGTAACATGAAAAAAAGCTATTAATTTAGGAAATTCGGAATTTTTTTTGTATATTGAACATTTGTATAGCGAGGGATATGTGTATAAGTAAGACTAGACTGTATTGTACAAAGCTTTTGTATTTTATGATCTGATCTGATTCCCATTCCTGGCAACTAGAGAAAAACATCGTAAAATAACAATATTATTAAAGAGATTAAAAGGGTTAAATGGACTGTATGTTATATACTGTAGGTAATTATAGTGATTCTATTGTGTGAAATGAAGAATGATTATTGACATTTTCAGGTCAGCCTCTGAACTATAGGCCAAACATACTTCTTTCCCCACAGTAGTTAAGTATTGTACTAGAAATGCTTTATCGCAGGTCCAGATGGTATAAAACCTAGCTTCAAGTTCTACCAATTGAGTGGTATGTAAAGGTAAGTAATAGCTCAAGGTCACCTCTAACTACTATTGCCCAGGTAAGGGTGAAAATATGAATTTGAGATATATCTGAAAAAAGTTTTTTTGTTGCACAGTCATGGATTATTGAACACTCTAGTACAGTAATATTATTCAGGGATCACCACAAAACACTTTAAAAGAATGACAGCATCCAATGACATATAATGGCATGTCAGAGTATACAAACATGGTTACACAAGCAAAGCATGTTTGTAACTCAGTAAATCATCTGATACTGTAATTTTTGCATCTTATTATCAATGAATGTGCAAATTGTTTTGACCATAAAATTGTATATACAGTATTTGTTGAGTTCTGGAATATGGTGGACAATTTTGCCTTACCTTTGTATAATTATTTCAAGTGTGGCAGGATGAAAATCAAGCATGGTGGGCCCACACAGTTAAGTCCTCTGTGGTGATCCCTGATCTTGTTTTTCAGTAAATACAGTAGACCCTCCATTAACGAGCGGTTCAATTTACAAAATTTCAGTTAACGAGTTACCTCCCGCAAGGACTTTCAGTTCTATTAACGAGTACAAATTCTATTAACGACAGCCTTACGATAAACGCATTTAGGTGCACGCATCAGCTGATCGACTTGTCCTCCAAAAATCGGTTCTATGTTTACCTTTGTTTCCAGTGGAGTAAACATCGAGAAAGTTGTGTTTTTGAATATTTTTTTCATTTTTACAGTGAATAATTTGAATATAGGCATCATATATTTTTCACAAGAGATAAAAATTTTAGTCCTTAAGTGTAGTCCATTTTAGTACATTTTTTTCAACTGTATTTTTGGGTAGATATACTTAACTTTCTTCATTTAATTTTACTCATTTACAGTAGAAGTCCAAAAATCCGGACTGCTTGGGGATTGGGTCGGTCCGGATTTTCGGATTTTTCGGATTCTCAGGCAGTACTTTTAAAATTAATATTTAAGGAGGAATAAAGAAGAGATGAACAGGTACATTTTGATAGTTTATTCATTAGCAAATAAAGCATGCTTCATTTATCAAAACGAGCAGTTTTAAAGAAAAATAAAGTCAACACTAGACAGAAATGTAAACAAACTGTCTAATACCATGACGAGTCTTGAAATTCCTAAGCCATCCATCACTAAATGCGCACTCTGATTCAATGTTCATTTGCTCCTTAAAAGACTTTGCTTTGGCAATAAGCATCGGCCCAGAAATTGCCATACCTTCTGATCGTTTTAACAAAAACCATTCGTGCAACACTTTATCAAGATTTTCTAATTTAGGCCAATATAAACTTTTTCTTTCAGCAATTTTAATGTAAGGCTCAGAAGAAGCTGTGAATTCTAGAATTTTATTCTTTGCCTTTTTTATATCATAAATTGTAGACTTTCCAATGTTGTATGTTTCCATTAGAACAGCATTGCTCACATTACATTCTAGTTTTTTAATTATTTCAAGTTTGTCACTCAATTTCAATGTGTTCTTCTTTTTCTTCACACAACAAAGTTTATCTACTTTAGGAGCCATTATTATGGGCTTGTACTCTGTACATGGAAAGAGTAGGACTCAAAATTACATACGTTGTCACAGTTTGATTGCTTGTTTTAAAGTGGCGATCGTGTGGTCGTTTGTTGTCGCTGTGCAGCTGTGGCATTCACTCATGCACACATACACACAAAAGATTTATAGTGCCTCAAATTTTACATTTCAGTTCAAGCTAATTACAAAACTAACAAAATTAGCTACCTATAATTTACAATTAATTTTATTATTAGAATTATGTAAATTAATTTTTTAAAGCAACTCCATTCATTCACATAACCCACAAAAGCCCGCTAAATTTAAAAAGTTTGAGTTTTCGAAAAGTCCGGATTCTCGGGTGGTCCGGATTCCTGGCATCCGGATTTTTGGACTTTTACTGTACATGCACACACCATCCTAAATATATATTGTTAATTCTATTACAGTAGGGTCGGGATATATAGAGACTTTATATAAAAATTTTTTTTATATCGTGGCTACCAAAATTATCTAAATTTTCCTATATGTAGAGATAATTTGTTTTATTTCTCGAGGAAAATCATGCAGGAAATATTTCAAATTTATCACGACGACCAAAATTTTTGAAATTTTCCAATATACAATAGACTCGGGGTTATGAGGGTTACATTACTGGACCTCACATAAAGTCAGAAACACCCCTAAATCGCCCTTAAATCACGATATATATATATATATATATATATATATATATCTTGATAAAATCACACGGGAAAATGGAAACAACGGAGTACCTTAGCTTAGTTGCCTCTGAAGATGTCTTGAATAAAGACGAAAGCTAAGGTAATTGTTTCCATTTTCCCCGTGATTTTATCAAGATTTATCTTATCCACGTTTTCATTGTGATTTACATGAAATATATATATATATATATATATATATATATATATATATATATATATATATATATATATATATATATATATATATATATATATATATATATATATATATATATATATACACACACTCTAGACCCCGACTTACTTAATGTTTCCAACTTATTTACTGCAGATTTTATTAAAAAAAAAAAAAAAAAAAAAAAAAATTTCTTCAAATGACACACGCATTTTCTATACCGAAACGTTTCCAGTTAATGTAGTCTCCATGTATAATTAGAAAATTATGGGGGCCCCATATGCATTCAGCTGACTACATTAAAGGTTAAGTGCTCAGTCACACTGTAACCATTCCTTATTATTTATTACTTTCACTGTACTGTACTGTATTTCATTGTAGATTATTTATTAAAAAAAAAAAAAAAAAAAAAAAAAAAAAAATTTTATCTATGTCGGACTTATCACCATGTCGGACTTACGACCTGGATTTGGGTCTCTAACCCTATCAAATGGGTCTAGGTGTGTATATATATATATATATATATATATATATATATATATATATATATATATATATATATATATATATATATATATATATATACATACACACACAGTTGTACCCCGCTTTACGCGGTCAATTGAACCCACAGGGTACTGCGTTAAGTGAACAACAGAACATATGGGATTAATTCCAATAGAGACTGGCCCGACCCCCAAACTCCACTTTTTGACGACACACAACTATGTTGTAGTAATAATTTTATCTTAACTTTATGATGGTATGAACAAACAAGTAATATAGAAGAGGTTAGGTTAGGAAAAATAAAGGTTAAGTTAGAAAAAATAAAGGTTAGGTTAGGAAAACTAAAAGTTAGGTGTATCACTTATGTTAGTAGAAGAGATGGGTCGGCATACGGGGATGGAGGCGGAGGGGAGGGAGGGAGGAGGAGGAGGAGGAGGAGGGAGAGGCGAGGGCAGGCGAGCGGCAAGTGGTGGGGGCGACCTAAAAATAGCTGCCTCAGCCGGACACTCTGCGCAGAGAAGGGTAGATGGAACTTAAGTGAAAGTTCGTTCTGATGAGGCATCAAGCAGATATAAGATATCGCTACAGAAACCACATAAAGCGGGTACAACTGTATATATATACACCTAAACCCCGACTTACGACGGGGTTAGGGACCCAAATCCAGGTCGTAAGTCCGGAACTGCTATGAACAACAATAACAGAACATATGGGATTAATTCCAATAGAAACCGCCCGACTCCCCAAACCCACTTTTGACTACCACATAACTATGTCAGAGTAAAAATAATATCTTAATTTATGATGGTACATGCACAATAATTAATACTTAAGAGAAATACAGTCGCTAAGTTAATGTCCATTCAAATAATGGACTAACTCCCTCCCTCTTCTCACTACACTGCTGGCTCTTCCTCTGAGAAATTTTGGGGAAAAAACCACTAAATTTTAATAAATAATACCTCAAACTAAAGTTAGGATAATACAATTGACATTGCTGGATTCCTTTGTAAGAGATTAGGGGAATATTTTGAATATAAATGTCAAGTATATATTTTGCACAAAAGATAAATATACTTATTCAGATTAAAAATTTTATCTAAAAATTTGTAGCCTATGTCTAATGCAAAATATATGATGTTTATATTCAAAATGTGATCATCAAATATAAGAATCTCCAGCAATGTAAATTATATTCTGACCGGTAATTTGTATGAATTTTATGAGCTAAAACAAATATCTTCAGTTAATAAAAAAAAAATAATCTTCAGGACACCATCTGTCAATCAAAGTGCACTTGACCTTGCCTCCCTCTTCCAACCGCGCTGGTCAGTCCCAACCTCCCACCTCCCACCACACCGTCCCTTCAAGAGATGTAAGAAAAATAAATTTTAATATTTGTATTAAATAATACCAAACTAAAAGTTAGATATTATACTGACATTAAGGATTCTTTGTAAGATTAGAATATGGATATAAACGCCATATATTTGCACAAAAGATAACATACTTATTCAGATTAAAAAAATTTTATTCAAAATTTTAAGAGACTAATGCAAAATATATGATATGTTTATATTCAAAATGATCATCAAATTATAAGAATTCCAGCAATGTAAATTATATTCTGACCGGTAATTTGTAGGCGAATTTTATGACAAAACAAATATCTTCTGAAGTTAATAAAAAAAAAAAATCCTCACAGGGTAACAGATGGTCGGTCGTCCCTCCTCCCCCCTGCGCACTTCACCAATCGTCCCAAGGAGATGTATTAAATAATACCTCAGATTAAAGTTAGATAATACAATCTGACATTGCTGGATTCCTTGTAAGATCAGGGGAATATTTTTGAATAGAAATGTCACATATTTTGCACAAAAGATAACATAATTTACTCAGATTAAAATTTATCTAAAATTTGTAGCCTATGTCTAATGCAAAATATATGATGTTTATATTCAAAATGATCACCAAATTATAAAGAATTCCAGCAATGCAAATTATATTCTGGCCGGTAATTTGTATGAATTTTCTGAGCTAAAACAGGCAGTCAGGCAGGGTGCGGTGGCAAATTTAAAAATAGCTCGAGCGACACACTCACAGAGTATGATGAAAAAAATCCGTGGTTAAGTGAAAAAGTTCACTTGGCGCAGGCACCGCATATGATAAAACGCTATGAAACCAAGTAGGCGTAATACTGTGTATATATATATATATATATATATATATATATATATATATATATATATATATATATATATATATATATATATATATATATATATATATATATATATATATATTATATATATATATATATATATTTATATATATATATATATATATATATATATATATATATATATATATATATATATATATATATATATATATATATATATAGTTAGGCCTCACTTAACGCTGTCAATTGAACCCAGAGGGTCTCTGCTATGAACAACAGAATATAGTGGGATTAATTTGACAGAAACCGTTCTAATTTCAAACTCCAATTTTGGGAAGGCCATACTATGTTGTAGTAAAATAACATCTTAATTTTATGATGGTACATGCACACAATTAATACTTAAGAGAAATAGAGAAATACAGTCGCTAAGTTACTGTCCATTCAAATAATGACCTGAACTCCCTCCTCACACCACATTGTTAAGACTAGATGGTATGCCCATCGTCCCTCCTCCCCCCACCCCCACCAACCGTCCCAAGGAGATGTGTGGGA